ACGGGTTCATATTGGATTGAATGTACACAAAACCGATGACAGCTTCATAAAATTTGTTTTCACAAAGGAAACACTTTATTGTTCTGGGACTTTTCACAAAAGTACTCATACAGCTCTTCTCAGCATGGCAGAGTACAATCAGCAGTTACTACTGTGAATGTTAAACACAACGCAAGGCAAAGAGCGATGCTCGCACGAAGATCTCTCAATACTCCGAACTCAACTCTGAATTAAAAACTGAGAACTGATGCTCTCTTTTTTAATATAATTTTTCTCGGCTGCCGAGAAATTTCCAGTGCCTTCAATTTCTCGCATTTGCTGGAAGGCATATAGAGCCAACTTACACAGAGAGCTGAATACAATTAATTGCAATTACATATAGGGTTCAGTCCAATTACAGTAAAACAGGGATCAGACCAAAATATAGCCAAATGGTCGCTAAGTCTGGGGACAAAAATTAGTCGCCAAAGTTCCAGCTTGGCGCTATCTCGCCAATTTGGCGAGAAAGCCATTTACCTCAATGTTAAATGGGCCTGCTCCTGTATTCTTATTTTTCCTTCTTTTTCACATTCTTTAGCTTCACATTTTTGAGGCATTTCATGTTACATTATACATGAAATACTACAATTTTACATATAGTTTGCTAAAATTATTTGCATATGTACAAATTTCGTAACAATATATTATTGCAATAAAAATTATTTTACATTATTTAATTTAGGATTCAGCATCTGACAGCTAAGGATATAAATAAGGGGAGAGAACGCAATGCATATACATACGGTTTTTAAAATTCACATGAAAAATATAATCTTCTTCAATATGTTCCCTTAAAATATTGCAAAAGTAGAGAAGATTTCCAAAATTTTCTAAATAAAAATAATATATATAGTGCATGTCAAAAATTAAATAGGGCAAAATTTAAAAGTGTGAAGAAGTTAAACTACTTGATTTTTAACTCAACGTAAAAGCACGTTGTACTATATGTGTATATTCTCAAATAAATTATTTAGAGAATGAAGCCATTCGGTTGTTCTGAAATGATTTATTGGAATGATTAATTTTATATGGAGAAAATCTTAAGAAACTCTGAGAAACTTGTTCTAACAGAATAAATTTTTGGGCTTTAAATAATTTTTCTCTATTGTCTTTTAAGTCTAGAAATAATTAATGAGAAAATGCTTATGGTTATAATTTATAGAAATGAAATAAAAAGTTGCTGTTTTGCTTATAAAACTTATGTTTATATTCTAGGATATTTGTCATTACAATTTTCGTTGTTATAAAAATTCATTGCCAAACTTTTGATATTAGTTTAAACACATACAATCAGTTTTCAGTGAAATTCTCTAAATATTAACGAAAATTATTCTAATATTAAAGCATTTCTAAAATAATGAACTCGATGAAAATAATGCATGCATAATTCATTTCTCTGATGTACTCTTTCGGAGTAACGGTAAGCACATCTAACCTCGCTGTTCGAAAGTTTTATATTCGATTTAGGGTAAGTGCATTTGTTTACTTTCTGTAGAGTTCAGACTCACAGAATGTGTTACAATTTTTGTAATTCCTTGAAAGTTAAAAATGAAAAAAAGATAACGCTTTTTTTTTTAAGTTACTCTTACAATTTTTAATCTAAGGGAAATTTGGAAACTGTGTCCTATGTGAATATTTCAGCTTAACCCCTCTTTTTTTGAAATAATCTTTAATCTGTAATTTAATTTTGATCCTCGTCTCGCTTCTTACGTCAGAAAAGTATTATTTTATTCCGAAAAAATTTTACATGGCTCTGATTAGGCATAGGTAAATAAAAAACATTTGTAATACAAAATACATACAAAAAGCAGCATTTATGAAAATCTTCAAAAAAGGCTTCACCTTTTCTAAGAAACTTCTAGATAATATTCTAATTTAGGTTGATGTATGTAATTATTCATGTATGAAAAGCTTCTAAAGATATTAAAATCTCTGCGTGAACACGATTCATTCGATATTAAGAAAATCGCGCTAGATCTCGGCATTGTCATGAAAGCAAGCATTATTTATGTAAAATAATTGATTTTTGGCTATCGCCATTAAATTTTCTGTGATTTGAAAGGTAAATGTCTCTATATCTCCATTCTAAGTCGAGTATGCTGGTAACGTTAGTACAGTTGATCTTGTTAAAACGAATATCCCATTTCTATGACTCTTATGAAAGGCTACAGTTGATGAGAATATTAAATCAATTTTCACTGTGCCGACCATATTTGTCATAATGTATCAGTTTTTTATGTAGTGCCAGTGGTTAAAAATACATCAACAACGATTACAAATTGTCTTATTAATCATATAGACTAAAATTTCATTATCGATATTAGCACTCGTTATCCTAAGCAGTCACACTCTTTTTATTAACGAGAAAATTTAACATAGGGCAATAATATAAAACTACTTCCTTAAACTAGTTCTCAGAGTTCTATCCAAGAAATTTCGGGAGTTGTTCTTCTTCTTGGAGTTATGCTTAGAAGTTTTTGAAAGAATCCGTAGAAGTTCTAGTAACCTACAGGGAAACCTGATCTTCCCTGTCTTCATTTTTCTCACCTTTGCCAGACACTCGCCTCCAGAAATTTAGAATTCTCCTAACAATAAGCCGGAACATCAGTTTATCATCAGTTACCATTAATGATCCTCATCACTAACGATTTGAAAACGCTTTTTGGTGGGGGAATGGAAACAAGCAGGATCTTTCTTCTATTCGCATTCGAATTTGCTTTCCGTTCATTTACAGAATGGCACAGCTGTTTTCTATATTTCCAAGGGCCCCTTATTGTATCATATTCACATTTTATAGAAGGCCCCCCTTTTTTTTTAGTGTAATCATATAACTGTAGTTCAGCGTGACACGACATTTAAGGGCACTCTAAAGTTTCGGGGCCTTGTTCTGCACACAATTCTGGTACATCGGTGGTTCGAAAGCAAGCGAACGGGCTGGCTGTGTAGTTGGTTTCTCGTGGTTTTCCCTAGGTGTAAAGTGAATATGAGCCAGTTTTCCTTAGAAAGTCGTCCATGAAATCACCCCTTCCCCATAGGCAGATTGATCAGATAGATCTGTGTGCTTTGCCATTTTCAAACACCTTATCCTTAGCTCTCGTAACTTGTAAAAAGAGAATTATAGCAGACGATGAGTATCTGTCAGAGCTTAATTTGCCCCAGAGCCCAGTTAAGCCCTGCTCCGGTACTTCTCAGCTCTTGAGATGAATCATAAGTTTAGCCGGTGCGCACCGGTGCCTAAGTAAAAGGGCTTCGGCACTTCTTTTATGTAAGTTTAACCACAATTTCAGCAAACAAATTTTATTTTATTAATAAATATTCCTTAAAAATCGATTCGAACTCCTGCTGTCTTTCCGTCGGGCACAAAACCTTCCATCGAAGAGAGTTTGAGACTTTTAAGGAAAGAAAAGCCCTCACCCACAAATCGCTTATTTTCCAGGAAATGCAATGAATTTATGAGAAAGTGTTAATTTTTCGTTCCTGAAAGGGCTAAAAGACATTCCCCTGGTCGTGCACGTGCCACGCTAGTGACTCCTACCGCAGAGGTCCTGTACACTTTTTGAACGATATAACCAAACGCGGGAAACATCTAGTGTCACTTGTATAGAGGAGTCTTACGTTTATTTTTATCTTGTTATCAGATTGTATTCAGGGAATATTTTTACTTGATGGCTATAATTGTATAGACAGAGCATCGCGATCAGATAGTCTTGGACACTTCTCTCTTTATTTTCAAAGCTACACTTTTCCGTTAAAACTTCCTTCCATATCCTGGGTTATCTAACATAACTACAGCTATCAGATGGCCTAAAGGTGCGTGCCAATCCACTGTTTCTAGAATTCTTACTATTGTCCTAGGTGACGCTTTAATCGTTTTATCATTTTTCATTGGTGTTTGAATCACCATTTTCATTGGTTTTTATATCCATCATCCCTTGAAATAGTACATTATGTGTATAATCAGGGCTTAAATTTAAACTAAGATCAGCTGAGGTACTTCATAACTTCTGAGTGGAATTGTAAGTCCAGTCGGAGCCCAAAATGAAATTAGGTCCGATAGTTTATTTTTTATTTAACTATTTATAATTAATTTAATAATTTATTAAATTTCTATTTACCTTTTTACATTTCTTTTAGTTTTAATTTAATTACTTAATTATTTTAATTTTTAGTTATTTTATTCATTTATTTTTTCCTTCTTTCTTGACAGTCTTCCAGAGAGCTGCGGCACTTCTAATTTTAGAGATTAAGTCCTGCTACCTGTATTTAAAATCTGATACACTGTGGTTATCTTATTTATTACGACATTTAATCTTTACACAAAAACAAAACAAAAACAAAAAAAAAAAAAAAAGTCTCATTAGTGGCTAAGAGGATGAAGATGCGAAACGCTAGCTGTTAGATCCGGATTTCTACTCTCGGCTGTTAAAAGGATCAATTCAGTTCTCGGCACGAAACTCGCGTAATATTGATTATTCCACTCGTTCTTGGATTCTTTCTGTAAATTGTAACTAGCGTAGGACTTATTTCCAAAACCTTTAATGATTTACCTCAAAAGGAAACAGAAGACACGTTTAATATCCTTAAAAAGAACCCAAACGTATTTCCATAATTTAATAATTCTTTTTTTTTTTTCAATATCGCTCTAAATTTGAAACAAATATGTAGAAATAATTTATGAATTCCTTCTATCCTCACTTCCTTATGAATAATGAATTACTTCGAGATGTGAATAAAATTGCTTTGATCAAAAAGCACATTCAGGTTCAAGAAATCATAAATTTGACATTCCTTTCATGCGTTTCGAATATTTAAAAGGCGGGGACGAAAAAAAAAAAAGGCTAGTGAAGTAGAAAAAGAGTTTTGCAGTATTCGCCAATTCTGGCGATTGCTTCTCAAAAATGGTACGTCAATATCGCCAAGTCTAATGGCCGCCGCACACGATGATTTCTTTACTGCAACTGCCAGAACTGGTAGCGACGGCGGTAAGCTGGTCGCGTAATCCGTAAGTGTGCAGAGTACGTCACGTTTTTAATAGTTAATTCAAGCGAATAGATATAACCGTTTGAACTGACACGATCTGAATCATTGGCAGTGGTAAGTACACATGCGTCTTTTAGATTTATGATGTTTGCAATATTTAAATGAGTCGTAACATCTGACTGACATGCACATGCTTTCTTTGACCTTAAATGTCTTGTATCACAAAAGGCAGTTTTTCTCAGTGATCTTTTTGTAGTCTGCTTTTTCCGTAATCCTGGATTTTGCAAGTTTGTGGCGTGCAGCTCTTCTGATTATTTATGATTTATTTATTTATGCAAAATAACATGTCATGTGCTGATTTAAAATTTTCGAAGAGCGCAGAAGTTAATGATTTATAACCGAGCCTGGAAATTAATTTGAAAATGTAGTATTTATATTCTTTTAAATGCTTCAGCAGTGTCAGTTAATGATAAATTTAAATTATGCTTCTGAATGAAATATTATGTTAATAATCAAGATACTCACAGCTCTTTTAGCTGCAGATCTGAGATAAATTGGTATAAATTATCATGCATCAGTATTTTAAAACATTCATAGGATGTCATTTTTCCTGTGCGTTTGCTTGTTCAATTATATTTTGTCATCTGTTTATTAATTTATGATAATGATTTACTTCTTTTGAGCCTTTTTTTAATGAATATTCTTTTGAAGTTTCTAGAGAGGTAATTCATCGTAGTATTTATATTGACCATATGTTTAGACAGTCTTTGTTCAACATTCGTTAAAAACAAACAGCAGAATAAAGATATAATTTCACTGCGTCGAGAAGCTGCTGTTTTTTGTATATTTGTTTTAAAAAAAGGCATTTGAATCTGAAATCAGAAATTCTTCCGTCATATTATGTGTAATATGAACATATGCAACGATTCATACATGTTATGTATGTAACATTAAGTGTATGCCCGATAAATATGACTATATGGTAAACATGTATATGAGGCAAATGTCGCGTTTTTATCAGGTATATTCAGAGATGTGAAGCAAGATATCATCAAAAATCTTAAGTGTTGAAGACTTAAAAAAATTGTGCTTTTCTTTATTTCTTTTATGAAATTATTTACTGAATTTTGTGCTTTAGAAAATCATATTTTAATTCTGTTGTATAATTTATATCAATTTAAAACTAAACCAGCATCAATTAATTGGTTAAATAACTAATTTACACGGTCGGAGCTGCTGTTTATTTGTTATTTGTTTTAAAAAAAGCATTGAATCTGAAATAGGAAAAAACGTCTATAAATGTGTAATATTATAAAAATAATGAACGATTCTCAATTATGTATGTAACAAAGGTATGCCAAGTAGAAATGGTAAAAAACTGAATGTTTCTTTGTATTCAGAAAAAATAACGGTAACCTAGAAAGTACCCATTCCCAAATTGCTTGAATACTCGTTTTGCGTCGATTTCCTTGTTGCCACCAAATATTATCAATATTTAAAGGGGCTTTTTCTTGGATGCCATCTTTTGGCCCTCCACCCGAATATTGTAGAATCTCTAAGTTAATTCCGTTTCCTTACATTTTGTAAAACTTTAAAGGAATTTTTATATCTCAAACTTCAATTTCTTTTTACGGACTTGCGCACCTTTGGGCAGAACGCATTCAGATTTTTTAGCAAAGGGCGTGCCACGTTTACAAAATGGCATTTTGCGTACAATGAAGATCGCCAAACATATGAAGAATCTGCATGAATGTTTCTCGCGCTGTGAAAAAATAACGGTACCTAGAGCCATTAAATTTTGAATAACGTAATCCTCCACCTCAATATGGGCATTTGGATGCTCTAATTTGGAATTTGTTTTATTATCTCTTTCACATTTTGTAAAAATTTAAGGAATTTTTTATTAACAAACTCAACGATCTCAAAGAGAGCAATGACAACACTGTACGAAGGAAAGAAAAACATTTTTATCTCCAGCATGCGCGAGGCTGTGTGTCAGAAATTCTAAAGATATACACTTTATAAATTGTTTTGCGATATGGTTGTTGCATTGAATTTTATGGTTTAAGTGCGAAGAATGTGTTGTTTAATAAATAAAGGTAGCACACAAAACGTTAAAAAAACGCCCCTTTGGTCGTAATATCAAATTTGAAAGCTTTCAGATTTTTTTAAATATTTTATTGGCTGCGACCTTTTGAACCAAAAAAAAGTTGAATTTATAAATGATACCTTCTATATTTACATTCTGCATACATAAATATACATTATTATTTTATTCTTTATTTGTTAATTTATTTTTTATGTATCTGATGTACTGCATTTCTAGTGAGACCTGTATATTTGTAACATGCAGATACTTTTTTTTAAAAATTATTACTGAAGTTTCTTTGATTCATTCTGTAGTTTTATATCTTATCTGGTGCAAATCATAAGAAACGGGGTACTTTTCTAAACGACTTTTCCTAGAGAAAGAATAGTAAGCGTTCGATAAGTAGCACAAAATACTCATTGAATTATTTCGTGCACTTCCAAAATTTGTAGCATAATATTACGAAGGCAATTTCAATATTATTTTGCTGGTGATGTATTTGCATAATCCGGGAATATCGCAGATAGTTCTATCTAACTGTCGTAAGTTAAGTGACAAAATTCCTAAACATTAAAAGCCAGGTAAGTAACTGGCAATAACGCAAGTAAAAACATTTAAAAATCGTTGCTTCATAAATCTGGCTTCTAAATTCTTAGAAGATAATGTATTACTAAAGCTTAAAAATGTAATTAATTTTTTGTAAATTTTTTCTAGCGTTTAATAATGTATAATTCTTTTTCTAACACGAATTTCTCTGAAACCGGAAACTTTTTCTTTTCCAGAAATATTTGTAAAAATGAGCAATTGCACAGCTGAAAGCAATATTACGAAAACCCAAACGATCGGCCAACAGGATTTCTTTTGTATTGTGGATTTCTTTTTTAGGCAGACGGTGATTTTTTTGTTTCCTGTAAAGGGCTTTTAGTAACATCTGCCCGTTCCAGCATTATCGCATCACTTAATTCTTAATTGTGAATGCTTTTATTCAGGTAACTGACAAACATCTGCTATTTTTTAGGTATAATTGATGTCGGGATGGATAATAGCGACTTGGTGCTAACTGAATATATAACGAAAGCTGCTCAGGAATGACTTCTTGACTAGATTTAAAAAAAAATTATTCTTAAAATTAGAAAAATCTCGATACATTTTAAAATTCATTGCGATTATGCATTTTTACCGCGTCAAATTTTATTGTTTTGCGCTTATTTTCTTGTTCATTGAAAGTTTAATTTTATACAGTTCATAATGGTTTAAACTTTCTCAAAATAATAATAACTACTTGGCAGTAATGGCTTTACTAGCACATTTTTTTTTTTGAGAAGGTTTAAACCATTATCAGAATACTACATCTTTTTTTACTAGATCTTCTCTTTAATTTTTTTCTGTTAATCTGATCAATGGATTAAATTTCTTCAAAAGAAAAATGTTTATGTACACCGCGGGAGAAAAAAAAAAAAAAGTTTTATGTCTCTTTCTACTGGGCCGATTGACAAAATTCAACTTGCGTTTTTCATGTCTCGAAAGCGCGGCTTGGGATATGCACTATATTTATATATAGCATAGTTCTAATAAAGATATTTTGACACAAAATCGGACTTTTCCTGAAATAACATACCAATTTTTTCAAATATTTCAGTTCTACGACTCACTACCAAGTTTTGTAAAAATTGCACGAGTAGTTTTTAAAAAATTAGCTCTCAAAATTTTAGCTCCTCAGTGTTAATTGAGTTTGGTATATATTTATTAATCTCTCTTTTTTTATTAAACTTTTCTGATCGTTCTTTTCACATTTCAAAATTCAGGTTCATCAAAAAAAAAAAAAAAAAAATCCACCCTTTTTATAATTTTTTTTAAATTTGTATTTTAAAATAATTTTTATAAATTTAAAAAAATGTGAATTATAGTCTATAAAATTTTTACCATCATCTTAAAGTAGACGTATTTCTAAGCATACCTGCAAAAAATTAGTTTTTATTCAAAATGTTCGAAGATACACGCCGAATTTATATATTGTTGTTGTTGTTGAAAGTGATAAAACATCAAATGTGGTTTAGAGCGATGTGATCTTTTTCCTTGCTCAGTGCACAAAATAAAAAGGTAGTAACGAGGTGCCTTTTTTTCCGCTGCGGTACAATGGAAGGGAAAAGAAAATTGATTGTCATATATTAAGAAGTGCGCAAAGTGAATCATTCTTGGCGCAAACTGAAAAAATTGCGCCAAGATAAATTTTTGAATTTCTCCGAAAATTTCGCATCAAATTTTACAAAATTTAATGAGTCGTCGAATCGAAATATGGGGAAAAAATTGGTTTTTTTATTTCAGAAAAAGGTCCGATTATGAGTCAAAATACCTATGTTAGAACAATGCTATATATAAATCTAATATATATTTTCAGTCGCGTTTTCGAGACATGAAAATCGCAGTTTGAATTTTGTCAATCGGCCCAGTAGAACGGAAGCTATTGAACTGCTCCCCTTTTTTTTTGCGCTGTGTACATATGCCATATACGTATGTAACCATGTTTCGTACCCGTTGTTAAAACGGTTCAACGGTTCAAGCAGGACCAACGCCAGAGCCGGTGCAACCGATGCAGAAACACCGTTCGACAGAATTTAGGCGCGGCAAAATATTTATAATTTAGAGAAGCACAGAGTTGCAAAATTTAAAAAAGATAAAACTTTTAGAAATTAGAGGAGACACTCAAGGGCAAAAAAATTTTTAGAATTTAAAGACTCACCACGCATCAGAATTTAGCATCCGTAGAGAACGCACCTGGGGGTAAAATGGTTAGCTTCGGCTCTGGTTTCGAGTTCTTGCGGATGACGCCGAGTTGTGCATAAAAAATGTGGAGTTTAGGTAGGAACTAAATACGTAAAATTTAATTGATAAGTTATTCCTACTAAAACATTACCAATAAAGTAATAAGAGAATGTAATGTACGTTACATTGTACATTTGCCGTTTATTTCCTTTTTCTTGTTTTCTCTGCTTTATTATGCGTATTTCTTCTACATATGGAAGTA